CACTGCCCAACCGACAGTGCACATCGCTAAGGCGGCGTATAACGTCAAAGGGGGCAATGACACACTGCCCAAGATGGCGATGACACACCAGCCAAGGCAGCCACGACACCCAAGGCAACGTACAACGCCCAATGGGTGGCAGTACACTGCCCAAGGTAGTAGTGTGCCTCCCAGTCGCCCAACTGCTGCAGGCCTAGCTTACAGGCACACCAGCCTGTCCTCCAATGCGCAGGACGCTGTGCGCAGGCTTATTATGCAGACAACACGTGCACAACTCCACGCCAGTCAACGCGCGGGCCTCGCGCCCCCCGCAGATGGGACATGCGCACAGTGCACACGTCCTGTGCTAGCCGCGCGCACGTGGCTTGAGATCCCACACGGGTGGATATTTTCTTGCGAGCGTTTTCCTACAGGATTCTGTCTGTTCTACTAAAAATTTATTTTTAAAAATAGAATAACAAAATAATAAAATAAAATTTTCAGAATGAAATTAAAAATACGAATTAAATTTACGAAATGCGACATTAAAAATTACGAAATAATTTAAAGAGTTCAAATGGCTTTAGAGCCCAAATAAATATGGGTTTTCCAATTACAATTTAAGCGCAAAGGTTTGTAGAGTGTTGCATTCCCCCAATCTTAGAAAATTTGGTCCCCTAAATTTGTCACGAATAAGTCTGGGAACTTCTCTCTCATCTTGCTCTCCAACTCCCATGTCACATTTTCTGGAGTGTAGTGTCGCCACTACACCTTCGTAATGGGGATCCTCTTATTGCATAAAATCTTGTTGGTCCAATCAAGAATTTCTTTGAAAAGTTTCTCGTATGTCATATCAGTTTACACCTGTGTCTCATTGTGAGGAATGATGTGAGAAGGTTTAGGGTGGTTCCTTTTAAACATGGAGACATGAAAAATATCATATGGACCCGTAAACTCTCGGGACAGAGCAAGGTGATACGAGACGGGTCCAATACGCTCCATGATCTGAAAAGGTCCCACATAACAGGGGCTCAACTTTCTTCTTTTTTCGAACTGTATTTTTCTTTTGTGGGAAAAAACCTTGAGGAAGACTTGGTCACCAACGGTGAATTTTAA